AATATAAGACCTGGAAATAAATTAGTCCGACAGCATTAGATACAACCAGGAGGCCACTGTGTGTAAAAATATTACCTTAACAAAAGCTAATAGTTTCAATTTTGTTAGACACCACTCAATATTTGCCTTTTAATACATTTGATTGTAAAATTTTAAAAGTCAGTAAAGGATAAGGACTATTGGAGCACTGGTCATAGAGTCAGAGATATACAGCATGGAAACAGACCCTTCGGTCCAACCCGCCCATGTGGATCAGATATCCTAAATTAATCTAGTCCCATTTGGCAGATATTCCTCTAAATCCTACCTATTCATATACCCATCCAGATGCCTTTTAAATGTTGTAATTGTACCAGCCTCCACCACTTCCTCTGGCAGCTCATTCCACGCATGTGCAAACCACTCCGTGAAAAGTTAACCCTTAGGTCCCATTTACATCTTTCCTCTCTCACCTTAAACCTATACTCTCTAGTTTTGGACTCCTCCCCCACTCCCACCCCAGGAAAAATACTTTGACTATTCACCCTATCCATGCCCCTCATGATTTTATAAACCTCTATAAGGTCACCCCTCAGCCCCTGACACTCCAGGGAAAATAGCCCCAGCCTGTTCAGCCTCTTCCTATAGCTCAAACCCTCCAACCCTGGCAACATCCTTGAAAGGGTTCAGAAAAGATTTACAAGTTTCACATCATCCTTCCTATAGCAGAGAGACCAGAGTCGCACGCAATATTTCAAAAGTGGTCTAACCAATGTCCTGTACAGCTGCAACATGACCTCCCAATTCCTACACTCAATGCACTGACCAATAAAGGCCAGCATCCCAAATGCCTTCTTCACTGCCCTGTCTACCCAGGGCTCCACTTTCAAGGAACTCTGAACCTGCACTCCAAAGTCTCTTTGTTCAGCAACACTCCCCAGGACCTTACCATTAAATTATAAGTCCTGCCCTGATTTGCCTTTCCAAAATGCAGCATTTCATATTTATTTAAATTAAACTCCATCTGCCACTCCTCAGCCCATTGGCCCATCTGATCAAGCTCCTGTTATATTCTGAGGTAAGCTTCTTTACTGTCCACTACACCTCCAATTTTAGTATCATCTGCAAACTTACTAACCATACCTCCTATGTTCACATCCAAATCATTTATGTAAATGATGAAAAGCAATGAACCCAACACCGATCCTTGTGGCACACCTCTGGCCACAGGCCTCCAGTCTGAAAAGCAACCCTCTATCACCACTCTCTGTCTTCTGCCTTCAAGCCAATTTTGTATCCAAATAGTGAGTTCTCCCTCTATTCTGTGTGATCTAACCTTGCTAACCAGTCTACCATGAGGAGCCTTGTTGAATGCCTTACTGAAGTCCATTTGATCACGTCCATGGCTTTGCCCTAATCAATCCTCTTCGCTACTTCTTCAAAAACTCAATCAAGTTAGTGAGACATGATTTCCCATGCACAAGGCCACGTTGACTATCCCTAATCAGTCCTTGCCTTTCCAAATTCACACAAATCTTGTCCCTCAGGATTCCCTCCAACAACTTGTTCGCCATTGATGTCAGGGTCACCGGTTTATAGTTTCCTGGCTTTTCTTTACCACTTCTTAAATAATGGCACCACGTTAGCCAACCTTCAATCTTCCAGCACCTCACCTGCGGTTATCGATGATAGAAATATCGCACCAAGGGGCCCAGCAATCACTTCCCTGCTTCCCACACAGTTCTAGGGCATGGCTTTCAGGTCCCGGGGATTTATCTACCTTTATACATTTTAAGACATCCAGCACCTCCTCCTCTGTAATATGGACATTTTTCAAGATGGTGCTATTTATTTCCTATGTTCTCTATCTTTCATATCCTTCCTCACAGCAAACACTGATGTAAAATATATATTTAATATCTCCCCCTGTGGTTCCACACATAGGTGACCTTGCTGATCTTCAAGGGGCCCTATTCTCTCCCTTATTGCCTTTTTGTCCTTAATGTATTTGTAGAATCCCTTTGGATTCTCCTTAAGTCTATTCCCCAAAGCAATCTCATGTCTCTTTTTTTGCGCTCCTGATTTCCCTCTTAAGCATACTCCTACTCCCTTTATACTCTTCTAGGGATTCACTCGATCTCTGCTATCTATACCTGACATATGCTTCCTTCTTTTTCTTGACCAAAACCTCAATTTCTCTAGTCATCCAGCATTCCTACACCTACCAGCCTTGCTCTTCTCCCCAACAGGAACATAACGACTCTGGACTCTCATTACGTCATTTTTGAAGGCTTCTCATTTTCTAGCCATCCCTTTATCTCTGAACATCCACGCCCAATCAATTTTTGAAAGTTCTTGCCTTATACCGTTAAAGTTGGCCTTCCTCCAATTTAGAACTTTAACTTTTGGATCTGGTCTACCCTTTTCCATCAGTATTTTAAAACTAATAGTTATGGTCACTGGCCCCAGATTGCTCCCCCACTCTCTTCATTATCCTTGTCTCTCCATTATCATCCATCTTGCCAAACTATTAGCAAAGTATCTGGCAAGATGGTGGTAGGGTAGGTCGCTCCATTTGGAGCTCCACTCTGCTCGCCAGTTTTCTTTCTTTTGCTTTCTTTGTCCTTTATTTTCCCTCCCTTCTTCTCTCCCCTTCTGTAGTAATTCCATCCCCACCCCCCCAATTCCGTTTTAACTACCTACCTAAGGAGACGGGAAGGAGCTGGGTCGCAACCGGGAACCACGTGGCAGGAGCTGAATACGTGGGTTGTGTCCTGCAGCGATGTAGGATCGAGTGTGAGTCAGAGCAACGGCGGAGGATCAAGATTGGGCCAGCGAGAGTGGACCGACGAGACAGCGGCGGCGAGAGCAGGTTGGTGAGTCAACGGAGAGCCAGCTGGTGAGGCAGCCCGGAGTGGGACGCTGGCAGCAGCATGGCATGGGCTAGAAAGTGGGCTTCTGGCAGAGGCATGGCGAGGGCTGGAAAGCCTGGAGCAGGATTGTGGCAGTGGAAAGGAAAGTTGGATTCTCTTAAGTTATCAGAGATAGTAGGAACTGCAGATGCTGGTGAATCCGAGACAACAAGGTGCAGGGCTGGATGAACACAGCAGGCCAAGCAGCATCATAGGAGCAGAGAGGCTGACGTTTCGGGCCTAGACCCTTCATCAGAAAAGGGGGAGGGGAAGGGGGTTCTGAAATAAATAGGGAGAGAGTGGGAGGTGGATAGAAGATGGATAGAGGAGAGGATAGGTGGAGAGGAAACAAACAGGTCGAAAAGGCGGGGATGGGGCCAGTAAAGGTGAGTGTAGGTGGGGAGTTAGGGAGGGGATAGGTCAGTCCAGGGAGGACGGACAGGTCAAGGGGGCGGGATGAGGTTAGTCGGTAGGAGATGGAGGTGCGGCTTGAGGTGGGAGGAGGGGATAGGTGCGAGGAAGAACAGGTTAGGGAGGCAGGGACGAGCTGGACCGGTTTTGGGATGCGGTAGGGGGAAGGGAGATTTTGAAACTTGTGAAATCCACATTGATACCATTGGGCTGCAGGGTTCCCAAGCGGAATATGAGTTGCTGTTCCTGCAACCTTCGGGTGGCATCGTTGTGGCACTGCAGGAGGCCCAGGATGGACATGTCGTCTGAGGAATGGGAGGGGAAGTTGAAATGGTTCGCGACTGGGAGGTGCAGTTGTTTATTGCGAACCAAGCGTAGGTGTTCTGCAAAGCGGTCCCCGAGCCTCTGCTTAGTTTCCCCGATGTAGAGGAAGCCACACCGGGTACAGCGGATGCAGTATACCACATTGGCAGATGTGCAGGTGAACATCTGCTTGATGTGGAAAGTCTTCTTGGGGCCTGGGATGGGGGTGAAGGAGGAGGTATGGGGGCAGGTGTAGCACTTCCTGCGGTTGCAGGTGGAGCTGGAGGGGAGTGTGGAGCGGACAAGGGAGTCAGGGAGAGAGTGGTCCCTCCGGCAAACAGATAAGGGTGGGGAGGGAAAGATGTCTTTGGTGGTGGAGTCGGATTGCGGATGGCGGAAGTATCGGAGGATGATGCGTTGGATCCGGAGGTTGGTGGGGTGGTACGCGAGGACGAGGGGGATTCTTTTTTGGTTCTTATTGTGTGGATGGGGTGTGAGGGATGAGTTGCGGTGCGAACCGAGCGTAGGTGTTCTGCAATTCTCTCAAGTTATCATTTTTTTCTTATTTTAAGTTAATGTGAATGGTGCCATGTATGTATGGCGAAGGTACACACTTTTCACTGTATTTTTAAACACTGACACCTCAGGCACCTGTACTGCCTTATTTCCCAAAAGGAGGTCAAGTTTTGCACCTTCTCTAGAAGGTACATCCAAATACTTAATCAGAAAATTTTCTTGTACGCACTTAAATTCCTCTCCATCCAAGCCCTTAATATTACAGCAGTCCCAGTCTATGTTTGGAAAATTAAAATCCCCTACATAACCACCCTACAATCCTTACAGATAACTGAGATCTCCTTTTCTCAATTTCCCACTGACTACTAGGAGGTCTATAGTACAATCCCAATAGGTGATCATCCCTTTCTTATTACTCAGTTCCACCCAAATAACTTCCCTGGATGTATTCCCAGAAATACTTCCCTAAGTACAGCTGTGATGTTATTCCTAATCAAGAACACCACTCCCCCTCCTTTCTTGTCCCCGTATTTCTATGCTTCCTATAGCATCTATATCCTGGAACATTAAGCTGCCAGTCCTGTCCATCCCTGAGCCACATCTCTGTAATTTCTATAATATCCCAGTCCCATGTTCCCAACCATGCCCTGAGTTTATCTGCCTTACGTGTTAGGCCTCTGGTGATAATGATTTTGGATAATCTGACTCCTTATCAACTTAATGGAAGCATGATTCCCTCCAAATTAAGGAGATTCAAATCTAAAATTCATGGTCTTTTCAGCACTGGAGACAGAATTATAATTACAAATGTAAGATAATTGAATTGGACTGTTAGCCAGGTAATCATTGGAATCATAAAAATACAGATTCATTCTGATCTTTCAGTTGTACTACGTTTTACTCTTTATTACTCCCCTCAGGGTATTCAAACTGTATGCATCCATAAACTTTACAAAATGCTTGTTTTGTTTGTGTATTGTAAAAGGGGTTTGTAGCTCAATACTTACACAAAGTGTACTCTTCAGGAGCTACACAAATGGATTTCAACCAAATTCATGGGCTTACATTTTACATTGAAAAATGACAACAATAATGGAATTGCAGAATAGAATTTCCAAAATGCTAGCAAAACTTAAAACTGTTTTACATGATTCAATTACGTAAATCGGTGGACCTGTTTATGCCTATTACAAATATAATTGATAGCTGTCCCTTACACAGGTCACTTAACAGCTCAGCATCTGCAGGAACTCGCTAAGTCAAACCTGTGCAATAGGCATAACTCCAGAAGTGTACCTAAAACGACAGGTTTTGCAGTGTCATGGGATTGCTGCTGGCAGAAGCTTCGAGTGCAAACCCTGCTACTGGTCCGACACTTAAAACTCTCACACCATGCAAAGCCTGTTCTGGCTCCCAACACAAGGCTCAAATGTGAAGGTTTTTCTGGTGCAGTCGAAACATCCCTCTCATAGTATACTTGGATAGGTTGATTAAAGCATCTACAAGGCTCCAATGGTCAAGCGTACTTCCTAGATCTAACAAATCAATAGTTGCCACTCAAAGAATCAAACGATTTTACTTGGAGATTACCACCAGCTGCACAAGACTTGGATGTCAGGATGCTGGCTAGTTTAACCAGAATGTTTAACAGTCTTCCTAGTGATGTGCCTGTGGGCAGCTTTAATTAAAATTATGTAATTCCATAAAAAGTCAACTTTGGCTAGCATGCAAATCAACCAATCAGGACGATTTCCTATACAATGTTAACAGGACATAATAGTTTCTTGTTATAATTACTTTCAGTTCAAGTATACTTCAAGCGTTTGCAACCCACTTCACATTCTGGTTAGATAGAAAACTTGCAGAAAATCCCCCTGTGCTTCAGTGGAATAGGTTGCATTTTGTTGTTCTGTCATTATAACTTTCATCCTTTGGAACACTAGAAATTCAGGCGAAAGAGGTATGTTTTGAAAATAATTCACGACAATATATATGTGATTCTGTCCACAAGAGGCGAGGTTTGGGAGGGGATGGAGTCAGAGGGAAGGGGAGGGGACGAAAGTTCTGAGGAAGGGTCACCGGACCTGAAATGTTAACTCTGAAATTTTTCTTCACAGATGCTGCCAAACCTGCCGAGCTTTTCCAGCAATTTCTGTTTTTGTTCCCGATTTACAGCATCCGCAGTTCTTTCGGTTTTCATGACAATATATTGTGGTGTTTGCAATGATGATGGATCATGGTTGTAATACTCAAACAACTCTTTCTTCATCTTAAAAAATAGCACAAGAGTAAGCATTTTCCTATTTATATGAATTCATGAATTATAAGTTCTTATTTACAAAGTTTCTTTGAAAACAGTAATAATCACATTCGTTATCAATTTATACAATACATCAAAGTAAAGGCATTCTTTGAATCATAGTACAAAGGTTTGCACAAATATAATATAATTCCTCATGAATATCAACATCGTAGAAGACCAGACATCTCCTTCAGATAGTTAATGGTTTGAAATTCTAGCTGTCACCCTTGCATTCTCAGTACAGACACAAAACAAACATCTAGTAAGAAACAGCTCGCCTTCCAGGTATCTCATCCAGATTCAGAGAATTCTTTAAGGTATATAAGTAGCCCACATTGTCCTCTATCAGTTCCATTCTCTCTCTTCATCAACTTCAGGGCAGAGTTTTAAGGCCCTGCTGAGGTGTGGAATAAAGATGAATGTATCAGCTTGTTGCGCATTTACAGAGATTGAGTTGGATTTGGAATCCAAAAGGGCTGCCTGCAGCCAATTAGGCTCATTTAGAGCCTTGTTAGTTCAAGGAGACTAAATGGGAATTTCCAGTCAGCCTTCAATCTCCTGACAACAAGTTTTTTTTGGTGGTAGGTGAAGAAAGAAGAAGTGGCAAGGTTGGGGGCGGTGGGGGGAGCAAGTGTAAGAGGGAGTGTAAGAGGGAGTTATTTAACTGCCTGAAAGTGGGCAGCAGGTGGCAGACTTGGAGCTATTCATCCAGGGGAGTTTACATGTTCTCCCCACCTACCTTGATGATGGTGTAGCCAAATGGCACCTTCCAGAGGGATTGTCCTGCTGGCAGTGGCCTGGCTGGTTTTTCTGTCTTTTAATCCAATTTTCAATGAGATTGGTCAGACAGTATCTTCTTGTAGAAATACCATCTCAGCAACATACTCTTTACTACAGCTCGCAGCATCACTCAAACCAAAAGTCCCTTGATTAATTCTCCAGTTTGGAGAACACTCCTGTTACTCCTATTTGGGCACAGAACCAATCTCCGTGCCAATTAAGGGGCAATCCTAAACAAAAGACCCAGGTCAACAAATGTTTCTACCAAGGGGGAAGCAGATTCAGGACTCCGAAACAGACCCTGATTCCCATTTCCATCTTCCAAAGTAAAAATGTATCCACAGTGTTGGAGAAAATTCTCATGTCCAGCTCTTCCTGTTTGGACAAGACAGGCATGCCTCAACAGGAAGAAAGCCAATTTGCCAGCTTGTTGCACTCCCAAGATTGATTGTACTTGTGACCAAAGTGCCTGAACCTTCATGTTTCAAAGAAATGTGCCTAATTGAATGGGGATATTAACTCTAGTTGGTCATGGGGCGAGGGAGGGGAACAAATCCAAGTTGCCCAATGCATTTTTTAATGAAATCACGAAGATAGCGTTGCTCAGCAATCTAGGCTTTTGATTTTATACCATTTACACACAAAATAATGTTGCATTCTCATTGTGCTTGTTAATAGCTGGTGTTGGGTAGAATGGATATCCCAGATATCCCAGATATAAAACTTTTTGTGGGCACATTTGCAAGATGATCCATAAAGTTCCATTACAACTTGGTCCTTGGCATAATCAACTTGTTCTGGCTCTTTCCTTTCAGCACCAATTAGATTATTAAATCACTGAGCAGAAACGAAGGATGTATGTTAGATCTCTGATAAATGCCATTACATTTTAACCTCTGGTCAGACCATTTAATTCTGAGGGGGAAGGGTCGCATTGCTATGGTAGCTTACAAGCTGAAATTTTATGGAAACCAACAGGTGCACAACAGTTAGATAATGTAAGACTTTTTGAACTTTTTTTGTGCTATATATTTGGAATGAATCATTTGGTATGGAATGCTAGTTGGCAGCTGGTAGCCTGGTATTCAAAAAAGTATTCATACGGTCCTTTGGAACTATTTTCATTATATATCAAAAGGTTTTATACATCGGAAAATAATAATTAATTGGTAGGTATTCACTTTGTTTTGAAAACAAACTGCTTGTTTCAATATCCTTGGACTGAGACGAAGGCAGGAGTTCTACATCAACCAGGATTTTGTTCCCAATCACCATTTACCAAACTCTTAAAAATTAGAAATGTGCTAGGACATGAATGAGCTGTGGCACTGTTTCAATGAATAGGCTGACAACATTTACTGTTTAGGCTCACCCACAAACAAGAAATCATTTGGTAAGATACGCTCACAGAACTACGTCCCAGCACAAGCCACTGAGGAAAATAAGGAAGAAAATTATACGTAGGGGGTATATTTTGTCATAGCGGGTTACTGTGCTTTGTCCAAATACTGATACTTCTAATAATTAGCCAGTCTTTTTGACTGTTTGTTATAAATACGCGCACACAGTCTACACTGAAATCAATGACGGTATTGATATCTTTTTTATCAAACAGTCCTTTTTGGAATGCATTTAGTTTAACATAGTCTGAGCAATCTTTACCCTTCTGTGTTACTTTTAGATTCTTTCCAACTTCAAGGATCCCAGAGTGAAGAATATCGTTATGCCTATCTTCTGAGCCAGTGACCACATGGATTCTGGTAACATTCATTGGCTTCATGAATACAATAGTGAAGTAGTCTCCAGTGGAGGGTGATTTTCCCCAAAAGTACTCATCACCATTACTGTAAGCTTTGTTGGGGTCATAGTTCTCAAATACTTTGAGACTTGTGTAGATAGTTGCTGGCGGGTTGTCGGGAATATCAAAGAAGTCCTCTTCAAAGTCATCATCCTTTAACCTATTTTCCGTCCCTCTAAAAGAGGAATAATATCCAATATGTTGAAAAAGGGAAGGCTTAAAGCGGATGACATCTTTCTGAGTGAGAAGTCCTCGAAAATGAATCAGTAACCAGTCACATGGCATCTCTTGATAAAACATCAGTAGAAAGTGGGCCAATCTTGGAAGGTCAGTAGAATGGTAAAGTTTTCCGATATAACCCAACTTGGAAAATTCCAAGGTTACCCAATAGGAGCCCTCTTTTGAAGCAAGAAATTTCTTGATTGCTGTTAAGAAAGAACGGGCACATTGAACATCGTCTTCCAGCATTAGGTAATAATCGGATAAATTTGCACAGAAATTGAGCAGGAAAGCATAGTCAACATTTTGTTTTGACCTGAAAGTCACACGATCAGCTGGATCATTATAATTTCGTTTCAGGCCTTTTAGAGATGGATAGTACAATTGGGGAGCATGAATGATAACCAAGTGGCCAGAGATGATATGGTGAGCAAATTTTCTGGAAATGTCTTGAACCACTTGTGCATTCCATGCCATGTCAAAGTCTGCTAAGTGTACGACTACCACCATCTCCATGAGCTCTTCATTTGAGGATTGATCAAATATGGATTTTAACGTTTCAAAGAGGTAATTCCCACGTTTTCGTTTCACTGAAGACAGTCCTACCGTAAGGTATTCTGCAAGGGATAGATAGAAATAAACTTTTTCAGTTGTCAAAAATTTAAAGATATGCGCTAAAAATTTCAAACCAAAACCACTCCAATCTACTTCCATTTCACTTACAATGTAGGATGCTGCATTCAAACTAGCTTCATACAAAAAAGGCCTATGGTTCAGTGCTACTTTAAATACCATGATGATATAAAATAAGACTATTGATCACTGAATTTGATCATCTGATTCAAATACCTGAATGGACTGAAAAGCTTTTAAACAGAGGCCAAAAACACATTTAAAATAGCCGCAGGCATCACCTGACCCAGTTACGTTGGCCACGTTTCACAAAACCAATACAGATTAAATGAAAGAGAGCCATGGGTGAAATCAACATTTTTTCCCCAAAGAGATTTAAAAAAAAGACAGGCTTGTCACACTCTCCTGGGAGATGTGCAAAGGCCTGCATCTCCTAATGGATTTATACCATGATGAGAAATGGAACTTTGGACTACAGTTGTCAGCCCTGAAATCAAAACTTGAGCAGACAGAAGAACATACATCCAGTTGTTATTTTGGGGTGTCTTTGGGGTGTCTCTCTCACACACCCACACTCTCCACCTGTCTCTCACACACACACGTACATATTCTCACACACACACACTCTCTCTCTCACACACACTCTCCATCTCTCTCTCACTCTCTCACACACACACACACACTCCATCTCTCTCTCATACACACACACACACACACTCTCACACACACTCTACCATAAACACTCTCTCTCTCTCACACACACAGACACACAGACTCTACCATAAATAGGGAAGGTGAAACTAAAAATGCAGACCCAAACACAGGTTGAGAACTCTCCCTCTGTCTCTGAAGAAAAAAAGCACCCAGTTTCCACAGAAAGAACAAAGACGAATAAACATGGTGCTGGGTGCTTTAAATATAAATGCTACTTTGCTACAGCTGACGATCCAACAATCCACCTAACCAACTATGGTCTCAGGCTGAAATCTCATGCCTCAAGTACATCAAAAGGATTAGCTTCCTTTGTACTGAAAATGATCCCTTTTTAATGTTGTGTGTATGTGTGAGAGTGAGAGAGAAGGCTGACATGACTGCCCAAGCCTTAAGCTTGACTTTCCACTGTTATTATTCTCTGTATTTCAAAAGACTAAAATTGCTCTCTCTTTCACTCAAGAAAAACCCTGCAATCGGCTCTGTTTTGCATATATTGAAAACTATTAACCATACTTTAGTGGGGAAAGTAGCTG